CAGAAGTTCTTCTGGAGCTGAAGGGAGGCCACAAACCACTGGAGAGGCTTCCATGGGAACACTGCTAGGAAGGCAACTGCCAAGGGAGCTGTGCTGCCCAATGGGAGTTGGTAGATCTCAATAATCTTGGAAAGACTATGGTGGTCAGGAACAGTGCCTGAGGCCCGGAAGAAACCAAATGTCACTGCAGGCCAATATAGTTCAGTATCCTTAGGTGGGATTGCTACACTGGTGGGATTGCTACAATGGACAGGTGTATTTTTTTTTTCCTCCTGTGGGACAGAAGGTCTGATTTAGATCTCATTGGTCAGGATCTGAGGAGAGGCCTGTTAGAGGGTGTCAGCACGATGGGAGCCTGTTACTGCCAGTGGGGTGGGGTTGGGGAAGTGAATGAAGCCTTCCTTAGATAACTCAAGGAAATCTTGGATTTGCAGACTGTCCTGCTTCTCGAGGACCTGAAACTCCTGATCACCAAAAACAACATAGTGCAATGCAAGCAGTACCAGAGATTTCTAGAGGGTGTCAGGCACAACTTCCTGATGCATGGCTTTGTTTAGTTCAGCCATGGCTGTTGTACAGTTATATCTGCTTTTTACTCCTACTAAAGCACTGGCTAGGGACACAGTAATCCACAGCAGCCTTGACTGTAGTGCCCATGAAAGAGTGGAAGTGAAGATCCTAGGGGGAGTGAAGAAAGTCTCAGAGGACAGACCCTGGACATCAGGTGAGCACATTGAAGCTCTTTAGGGAATGCCCAGATCAGATCACAACTGAAGGATAAAGGAGATGCTAGAATCTTTACCCTTGAAGTGGTAGAGACGTGAAGAACATGAAGACAAGAACAGTTTCTTCCTCCAAATGAGTCATAAAATTCAGAACAATCTCTGATCACTGCTGAGTGGGATTTCTGCTGAGGAGTTTTTGTGGCAGTGGACATGGATGAGACCGAGGTCACTGTTGACTTATTTTCCCTAGTCTTCACCAGCAGGATGAATCAGGCCTCTCTACATAGTGAAGAGCCTTAGGGAAGGGAAGAACAACCAGTAGTGGGTGTGGATCAAGTTATCTATTGCATGTAAGACCTTGTGTAGATCAGGGCAAAAGTAACAGTTCCAAAATACAACCTGGAGTCCTAAAGGTCAGTCTGCCATCACATTGTCCTTGGGAAGTTAGGGAGTGAGTCACTTGCAGTGCATTTCTGGACACATGCAGGAAAAGTTGACTGGGAACAGCCAAGATGGATTTAGCAAAAGCAAACCATGTCTGACCTCCCTGTTTGCCTCCTGGATCAAAGGACTGCCTTTGTGGTCAAGGGGAGAACAGTGGATGTCATTTACCTCAACCTTCCTTGTTCCCCAGCCTATCTTCACCACGGAGGTCTCCCAAGTCTCTGTGCTTAGTGAGGTGGCTCAAGGCTAGGAATGACCAACTGTGGGTGAGAACTGGGTCAGAGATTATGTGCAAGAATTCAGCCTCCCAGAATCAGTGGAACCCATGGGCTTCACCCACTGGTGAGGAGAGAGCTCAGTGACACCTTTTCAGGGCCACTGTGCATCATCTTTGAAAGCTCTGTAGATATCAGAAGAGGTCCTCAGCAGATGGGAAAAGGCAACTGTTGCATATATTCCCAAGAAAAGCCCAAAAGGAAAAGTCAGGGAATCACAGAGCTGCCAGCTCTCACTTTTGTCCCTGGGAAAAATCAGGAAGTGAGCCCATTTTTTTGCACATAAAGGAGGAGACTGGGAAGATCCAGCATGAATTTACCAAGGGAAAAATCACGCTTACCATTTTTTTTGCGCATAAAGAAGGAGGAGACTGGGAAGATCCAGCGTGAATTTACCAAGGGAAAAATCACGCTTGACCCCTCTGACTGCCTTCTGCAACTGAAGGATTGCCTTTGTGGACAACAGGAGAACAGCAGATGACATTTACCTCAACTTCAGCAGATATTGCAGTGTGTTTGCTGGGAAGTGTCCTCTTTGACACCATTATCAGTAACCTAGAGGAAGAGATGGATGATGCATTTTTCAGGTTAGCAGATGACACCAAACTGAAGGGACACACAAAGTCAGGGATACCACCTGGAAGAGCTTGGCCAGTTTGAGGAACAGGCCGAGAAGAACATAATGAACTTCAACAAGGATAAAGCCAAATACTGCCCCAAGCCAGAAATCACTTTGTGCTTTAATCCAGGCTGGAGCCTGCCTGGGGAGCAGCTCTGCACAGAGGCACCCGGGACCTCAGCAGGGACCAGCAGTGTGCTGAGCTGCCCAGATGGCCAACAGCATCCTGGGTTGTGCTCACAGGAACACAGGAGACTGAGGAGTGGGATTATTCCATTCACCTCATCACTCAGTAGAGCACATCTGGGACACCATGCAGCTCAGTGTTGGTTAAACTGTAGCCAGGTCAATGGAGTGCTCCCAGGATGGCTGATGGCTGGAGCTCTTACCCTGTGAGGAAAAGCTGGGAACAGGGTTGAAGAAGAAACACTTTTGTGGGGTCCTCACAACCTGGCCCTACTTATAAGAGGATTATCAAGAAGATAGAGCTACATCTTCTGGGAGGATAAGAGGCAGAGGCCTAAGAAGAAACAAGAGATTTATGCGGTCTGAAGACCTGAGGACCACCAAGCAGTAGGGCAGGTAGTCCCGAGAGATTGTGCAGTCTCCAGCCTCAGAGATTTAAAGACCCAACTGGTAAAGCACTGAGCAATCTATCCTGAGCCCATAGGAGACCCTGGAGGTTGGACCAGAAGGCCTCTGGCCCCTTCCACCTAAATTGTTCTATAATTCTGTGAATATTTTAAAGCTACCCTAAACTTCCAGATAAATTTGTGACCTATTTGTGTCCTTGAATTCTTGTGTCAGTTATTTTCTTACAGAGCTTTTAATCTGCAGTTTTGTAACTGAGAGCAGTGACATTCATTCTCAACCTGTTTCCTTAAGCAGAATAAGCCATGCTAATTTCCTCATGTGAAATCCAGTTCCTATCCCTTTATCCTTCTAATATCCCTATCAGCACTCATCCCAATTTCAGTTAATCTGTCTTTCATGTAGATGGTGACACTAATGTAGTAATTTAGCAAATCTAAATATAAGGTCAGTAAAGAAATAGTCATACTCTGCACAAAGCACTCTTGCTACTGAACACAAACCTCAGTGCAATACACCCAAAGATCTCATTTCTTCCACAGCTACACCCTGCCTGCAGGAAAACAGTAGAGGAGCAGGCACCAACCTTGAGGCCCCCCACAACCTCTTCTCCATCCAGGGTACAGAGGAGCAGGCACCAACCTTGAAGCACACACCACCCCCAACCTCTTCTCCCTAGGGGTCTTCCCAGGTGATCCTTATATCCTCACCTCTCTACCTTTACCACAGCCTTCCCAGGTGCTGCTTATATGCCACCAGGTGTTCCTTGTTAACCTCTAATGGTTGGCCTCAGAAAATCCTTTTATCCATCAAGCAGTGAGCATTATTATCTTCATCCCTGGCCAGCCTTTCTTCCTATTCCTTATTTGTACACTATTCCTTATTCCTACAGCTGCTCATACTAATCCAGTCACTGATTATCATTTCCTGATTCTGCTTTCTATATACAGAAATATATAAAGGCAGACATATTAAAAATTATTGTGCTATAGAAATAATGAATGCAAATCTTGCTATTAAAAAAAGGCTTTACTGATACTTGCCCTATACTTATCCCTTACTACTTTTGTTTTTCATTACTCTTTGTTGGATTTTTTTTTTTCCTCTCAAAAGCTTTTATTAAGCATTCTGGGCCCAGGTGACTTTCAAATATTTTTACACAGTAATATTGTCCTCTCTTAAATTAGATCTATTGATCTTTTTAGATGAGTGATTTTTTTACAGCATCCTAATTATCTATTAGCTATTCTGGAAGTGAATTCTCATAGTTTCTCACTGAGATTGCCAGTTGTATGTCGGTAGTTTGCCACAGAGCATAGGAATTGGCTTTTATTGAGAGTTGTTCATTGTATAAATATCTTTTTTTTTTACTCTTAAGCGTTTAAAGAGCACTAGTTTGTAATTTAGTAAGTTTAAATTTGAATTTGTGAAACTGATGCAAACTGTTATGTCCCATGGAGAGCTCACTGAACGCTTATGAATATATAAAGGACTTCATAACTCCAATCTCACTTTTTTGTGTAGTCACAGTAGTCCCTTTTATCCTCCCTAAGACACTCATGTTCTAAAACCAGACAAAAACTGAATCCAGTATCATCTTTTTGACCCCTGAAAGGATATTTTCCAGGCACAGTACTTCAGTTACTGCCCAATGTATGTCTACCAATATTCAATCACTAGTTACAATTTATTTTGAAAGACAAAAATGAGAAACTGTTGTAAGTTAAGTGAGGGCTATTAGTGTCAGCCTTCCCTTTTCACCTGGATTTCCAGTAGGCTAAATTATTCATTTGGAAATAATCTGCAATTCTTTCTGCTTATATGGTGTTGGAATTTGTGCCATTAGATTAAAACAGAGAAGACTGTTTTATATCCTGTTTTGCTACCTGGCAAAATTAAGCGTCTGAGTTCAAGCTACTTCCGTTTCAGTGAGGATTCATTATTACTCCCCCATCTGCAAGATATATCTCCTTTTTACTGCGAACAATATGGGTGGCTAATGCCCTGTAGTCAGGATGCTATCGGACATTCACGGGCTGCCAACAGCAGCCCCACTGTTTGGAAGGCAGTGCTCTTTCTGTAGGGTATTTTTCACAGCCCGGCAGTCTCCAGTGTCCATCTGCCATCCTCCACAGCCACGTGGGAGAGCTGAGAGTTGGCATTTTCCCTCATGTTTTGTAGAGCACCTGTTGAACTTTTCTGCTTAATGTAAGGGACACTATGGCCCCTACTTATTTTCATAAATCTGAACTGAGCTAGAAACACCACCACCAACAACAAAGCTATAGGAAAGAAACAACACTTAACTTGAACTAGCCTTTTTTTTTTTTGAAAGAAGATTGTTGAGTTCAATCCTCATGGCAGTTGGAAAATAACAGTAGTGGGTTAAAATCGGAGTTTAAGAAAATACATTTAAATATATTTTTACTTAAAAATGAGTTTCTTTATCATTCAAAGACCTAAGACTTAAATTATAAACACTTCTGGTACAAATTGACAAAAAGATCTAATAAACCAGACTATATAAAAAGCAAGAGATTTTTTTTTCAGAAAAATGTATTTGTGATTTAACTGATCATATAAAAAGCATTAATTTTTTTTAAAAAAATGTGTGTATATACTTTTTTTCAAGTGTTAATGGTTTCACCATTCATGGTAACTACATTCCAACGTCCTTAAACACCAGGGCCTATTATCCTCATCTGCGCAGGGCAGTGAGCGTACTCTTTACACTGAGGTTACTCTCATCACCACTTCCCCAGAGCTGTTGTCCTCTGACGCGTCTTCCTGAGGTCTCACGCGGTTGAACAGATGTAACAATACGTAGCCACACTGAAATCTCGGTGAGGTCAGCTGTGTTGGGTGAACTAAGCTTCTGTTTCTGAATGCAGTCAGCGGCAATCCTGCTGAGGACTCTCCTCGATTGCTCTCCTCTATGTCTGTGGCTTTATCATAATTTAACACATCCCAGTGTAGATTGACAGCCCTCCAACGCTTAAACACTCGATAAACAGATGCCCCTTCGTGCATTATCAGTCCTGAAATTAAGAAAAGAATTATTAGTTTGCACAGAATGTCACTGGGTACCATTTTGACAGCAAATAAAGATGTAACTTCATAATGCCACATGAATTAAATAATGCCACAGCAAATGAATCTGGCAATTGCTGTCATATTAAGCAGAGCTCATTAAATTTTTGGCAACTGATAATTCCAATAAATTATACACACACAATATGAACCACTATTTATGTGTTTAAGATTAGGAGAAAAAATTGCATTTGGCATACATCTATATTTATAATAATTTTAAACCTTTCCCTCCTATACTTAATCAGAATCCAAAATTTATACAAAATACCCCAACCTCATAGTTAGCCCTTCAAATCTCTTCAAATGTAAGCTCAAGATATATGCCAAAACTGGCATTACCTGAGAGTGCCTAATTTAACAAAATATGTGGGTTTAAGTAAACCAACACTAACCAGTTTTGCCAGCAGATTTGTAAACTGCCCTTTTATATGAGTGTGAACATTGTCCACATTTAATACATTTTAAAACTGTTCTGTATCTTTATAGATTTGTAGTGATTTAACTAGATCTTTAAGTAAGTAGGATTTTCTATAGGGGACAGAATGCTCTTAAATTGATTTAATAATGTTTTGTAGTACGTTTGGAACAATTTTTTATCAAAAATTTTATTGTTTTCATATTTTTGTTCACTCTGGGGTCATAGAACATTTATGACAACTTGAAACAGCTGTAAGAAAAATGCCTTCCCTTTCTTGCTTCAGTATAGCAAGAACAAAGAGATAAATGTCATTATTAACTATGATATTATTAGCTTTGATAAGGATGGCAAGGATGATAGGCCTCATTCTTTCTCTTCAAAACTCAGTAGGGAAAATTTGAGAAAAATTTCTAAAATGTCCTTCAAGCAAACTATAGATTATCTAGAGTGCTAGAGTCTAGAATCTGCTTTCATCTAGCTAATATTAATGTTTACTCAAGTGTGCAAGCAATTCTGTTAAATGAAATTCATAATTTTTCATATTTTTCCATATTTTTATGTATATATGTACAGGTATATATATGTACACATATCTAAATATGCACATATACATGCACACTCTTCATATGTAAGTTTTTCAAATATGGATTTATTGAAGAGTTTCAGAAAACTTCAGCCTTCTTATTAGGTTTTTCTTCTCAAAAAGCCTGGCAATTTTTATATTTCTGAGCAATGGCACATGTTCTTTCTGATTCCCTGCTTTGGGAGGAGAGTAGCCTGCCTAGCCAAACACATTGCTAAATTACTTGTCCAGTGTGTTTCTTGTGCATTTTTTTTTCAAAATTCTATATTATTATCTATGATGTCTTAGGCTATGATTCTTTATGCTAAGGGACTGTATAAAATCTGGTCCTACAGAATGAACTTGTGATTTAAGAGTTTAAGGAAATACTGGAAATAAGGCATTTGAGGAAAGATGATTTAAGTAGAAATTATGGTAAAAAATATTTATGTGAATAGCAAGCTTCATATTCAAGTGCATTGATTTGCAGGTAGGAATGAATACTCTAATACATTTTAAAGGTCGTTACATTTAAAAATGGAATAACACAAAGTGTGTTTTCAGAAGTGCGTTATAGCAAATGTTTCTATTCTGTAAGCCTTTTAAGTTTCCTTGAATTACTGAAGAATCCAATGCACTAAAACTAAGAAAATATAAACCTAATGATATGTTACATTTTGTAAATTTGTTTTGTAGCAACATAGCATTCTAATGTAAAAAAACTTGATTGTAAGATGTCTAACTCCATCTTTTCATTTATATGTAAGCAACCCACTCCAAATATTTAGCAGACATGTTCATACATAAACACACCATCAGACTGTCTGTATCATCTTTGAAAGGATTCATATGCAAACTGAATAAATCATGTTTTTATTGCTGTGACTATGATCCCTTTTTTTTTCCTGTTAGATTTTCTGTGGAGTGCCATAGGGGTAAAGGCATATCTGTGCATTCCTTGTTTCTGTCACTGGATCATAGCACTGTCTGGCCCCACTTCTCTCAAAACCGATGAAGCAAAACTGAGAACCCATTTTGCCCAATGTAACGATTTCTGATACCTGCCTGTTCTCCAGTGCAACCTCTGCATGCAATATATTTGAAACAGAGAAGGAATAAGTTGATAAAGGATACTTTGGGCCTGTAAACTACAAAGTACATTGAAACTGTCCAAAAAAAAAAAAAACCCTAAAATTATGTGAAAGAGTAAAAACAACTCTTTTTTTTTAACTACTACTTTTTTTTTCTTTCCTTTTTTTTTTTAGCTTTCAAAATTTACTGGAATTAGACTTCCAGTCTTTTCTCAATGATGGCAAGGAAGAGAATTTTTTCTTTAAAATGGAAGATGTTATTCACATATGCTCAAAAAGAGCAAAGGATAAAGGATCTAATATTGCAAGGCTTTGAATAAGCCTTGGCTTGAGCAACGCTTAATGAGAGAAAAGTAATTTCATAATTCCCTCTAACAAAGTAGGTTGATTTCCCGTCTGGTAAAACTACAGATTCAAAAAGATCTGTATAAAAGAATTCCAAAAGATCTTTGAAAGCTATTTTCAAAAAGAGAAATAATACTGTTTTATTCTACATATCATGGTTTCAACAGCACACAGAGCATTCTTGCACAATCCTAGGCTGGAAGAAAAAGTAAAAAGTACAGATCAGCCAAAAATCTTGTGTGAACTAAATGATCCCAAGAGAAAATGGTAGAATTTGGTAGGCTATTCTGATGTTCTGGCCAGTTCACATGTACTAGGAGCAGGCTTTGGAGTTAACAGACCCGCCAGAATGTCCTAAGGCTCTGCGAAGACTTTGTCTTCAGGGTTTGTTTCTAAGATGCAGGGAGTACAGTGCAATCGAGAGAGATCATAGGGGTTTTCTTCTTTTGCTTTAAAGTACTATGAGATTCTTTCTTGGGCACTGTCCAAAGGCTTTCGTATTCTGAGTCACAAGTATACTCAAAATTTTTCATACTGAATGTCTTTACATGAAGGTAACTCCTCACAGTTGAGATGTGGCATTAAATTCCACTAGTGTCTTACCACACTGTTCTAACCGAGAGCCCTTTCCAGGAGGAGGCCTCATTAGAATTTCTTGCAGATCCAGAATTCAGAGGAAATATGTGGGCTTACAAACTTTTACTGGGGAATAAAAGACACTTTTCTGTAGCAGTCTCTAACACTGATCAAAAATGTCATTTCTTAATCCTATTCTGTATCTAGGTCCATAAAGACAAAAAACAATCAGGAAATTGATAAAAGCATTGAAGTGAAACATATCCACCCTAAAAACAGGAATACTCTTTTAAAATTATTTAGAATTAGAACATGAAAGAAGGCTTTCTGAATAGAGAAATGCTAAGTGCATTTCGATGGGTTAGTTAGAAATTCAGTTCGTTCAAATTTACCACTTGCAAAATGTTACTAGGCATGAAATTGCCCAGGGAGCAGGGAACTGGATGACAGTGCTTTATCCACACCTCGCGTTGGCTCTCATCGCTTGCTCCCTTGCCATAGTATTGGCACCACTCACATTTCCAGTACAATGTTACAGTTGGTTTTCAGGTGCCAGAGAAGCTGCCCAGTTGTCCTGGGATTGCAATTGGGCTGTTATTATTTGCAAGAGAGTTGTCCACTTTGGAACCTTGTATGACTAAAGTTTTGATTACTTTCCAAAGCAAATATATAAAATAGTATGACTCTAGTGTTACCAGAAATAATCATTAGGCCTACAAAGCAGAATGGCAAAGACTTTGCATGCTGGCCTTCAATGTCTAAATAAGAGGTTTAGATCATTCATTTCTTTCATATTAACTCGTCAACTCACTGCCTTTGGTAATCCCAACATGGATGTTCTGATCCTACCACTGCACGTAGCTCTGGACCTATTAAAATAGTCAAGGTTTGCCTTCGAGCACATCTGTCATCAGCAATATCTGCAGAGAACAGCTTTATGCTGTTTTATACAACTAGAGACTTGCGGGGTTGATATTGACAAGTAAAAATGACAATCCTGTAAAGAAGATATTAGAATTCTGGATGAGTTAAGAAGAGAATGAGTAAAATAATTAATACAAATATAATATGTATGCTGGAATGGAATGCTGGTGATCTCTAGTTTCTGAGATATTTCTTTTCGTAAAATGAAAAAGAAGACCAGGAATTAAAACATATGTTACACATAATTTACTTCATAATGAAGTGGATGGTATATTACCTATAAAATATAAGCATCTATGTCTTATGGGATAAAAATTAGCCATTGGAAAAATAGAAATTAGTATGTGCAAGTTTTTAAAGAGATCACAAGATATGTCATATCTTATCTGCTTTTAAGACTGGCCACAACAAAACTCTTCAAGAAGTACAGATTTTTATCCTTCCCAAAAGGCTAAAATACTTGTACTGTACCAACTGAAGGCAGATGGAATACTTGGTCATATCACCAATAACTCAAGCATTTGTCTTGAAATGTGTGCTGCTAAAGCAAATCCTTACATCTGCAAAGATTTTCACTGAAATAGATTCTAATACTAACGTGGGTATTAACTTATGGCAAATCTTTTGTAAGACCAAGATCATGGAAGACTTTCTACAAAAGGAGGAAATGACAGCAGAGGAAATTTTGGGTGGGAACTTCACCTACCTGTAAGTATTACAAGCTGTGTGATATAAGATTATATGTAATAAGCAATGATAAAATTGTATGCTCATGCCTTCAGAGAGTTATTAGTAAAATGGACAGTACCATGGGGAACTTTATTCAGATGCTCTCTCAGTCTAAAATCTTTCACTTTATGATGAAAGTAAAATGTGAAAGAGAATAAAATAGATACTATTAACAAATGTTCTTAAAAAATTATAGTGTTAAAAATATTTAAATTCAGTGTCAGGAAACGTGGCCAATAAAATAGATAGTTTATTTATCATGTGACTATAAAACATGCACATATGTAACTGCAGGCAGGTCAGTTTATCTGGTGGCTGAATGTGGATGTACCAGATGCAGGTTGCTCCTGCATGGTGCCAGTCAGGCTAGGAGCCCCATGGCTGTGTGAGGAGGGGCTCGGCCCTGGCTGGCTTGGAGGGCAGCACATGGCTGCATGTGCGAGTCTATTGAAACCATGCCTTAAAAGAGTTTGCTACTGTAGGTGAACTGGTTAGTCCAAAATAAAGGACATTTTTGGCAATTGTTGTCTATGCCGCACCTGGAATTCCATATAAGTGCGAAGTTTAATATGCCTGAAGCTAAACACTTTTGTCTCCATTTAGAGTTTTTTTCTTTTTTTTTTAATAAAAGAAAAAACATCAGAAGTTAATTGTTAAACAGGAACAATTAATCAAAAATCAGCACGTAAGAGTGTACCTGATGCACTTATTTTGTTAATTTAAACACAAAGTATTTGTCTAGAGTTAGAGTTCAGTTCATTTTTATGTTTAAGAAGATTTAGGTTCACAGAAGAAAGCCTGTGCTATAAAATATTCCAGAATGACCTCCTTTCATAGAAATAATAAAATAAATAGAATTAATGATTTAGCTGAAATATAAATAAATTCTCTGACTGTAGTGGAATGCTGTCAATAAAAGAGGATATGACTTTGTGGTTGGACCAAAAGCCTGGATATTAAGACTCACTCTGTTTCTTTGCACCTTATTGAACAGAATTCAGAATTGCCATATGTGAGACCGGGGTAACATCAACATTCATCATTCCAAAATTTCAAATCAAACATGATACGATATTTGACTGCTGAATTTTCTTGGAATTGCATTTCTAAGAATATGGTTTAATGCTGATTACTCCAAGTTATTAAATTCTCTCTACAATTAATTGCAGCTATTGTAACATTCAATAAAAAATGAGTTTACAATAAAAAGATTTATATTATATTTAAGTATTTTTGAATGCATGTATTTTCAGATAGTTCAAAACTGGCCAAAATAGCTTTGTAATAAATAGTATTTTCCTTTCTAAGACTGCAGCTAAAGCTAAATAATTTGAGATTACTTAATAGGATATTATGTTATCCCACTTAACACTAGTGTTTGTTTAAGTGTTTATGATGGACAAAGAACTCATGCCAGCCTTTTATTTTTCTCGTTTTTCTCCGTTACTATCATGATAATCTGTATACTTTAATTTTGGATTTATGGTTGGATTACAACCTCAAGGGCTTTTTGTGTGCTTGATAATGGTACAATCTAACGCAATGTAGCATCAGGGGGAGATAATTTTACTAGTTCTTTTACTAAAGTCTTTGTTATTTTCACCTGTTTAATTTCTTGCACTTTGTTAGCCATCTATACTTTCAAGTAATCTAAACTGACCCTGTTCCCACCACTAACACTGGGGGAAGCTTTGATTAATCTGAATAAAGCCTCTTTGGTTCTTTTCTCTTTGCAGTATTTGCAACACTTTACAAAGCAGTATTTGCCAAAGGTACCAGCTGAGAATAAATCTGCAAAGAATTGGAACGACCAATTAGAAAAAGGATGTCCTTTCTTTGCCATACTGCATAAGGGCTGAAGGCTGACCATAGAAGCCAAGTCACACTTGCTACTAAGAACAGAGATCCTAGGATTACAGCAACCATCTGCACTTTCTCAACCAGTGTTATAGTAATGCTTTGCCACTAAAAGAGAAACAAAGTTGTATAAGATCAATATGTTATTTTCTGTGATTGTACATTCAACCCCACTTTTTTTCCTGAAATGAATAATTATTTTAATATTTGTACATATCTTCACAAATGTTTATTAGTATTAGTTATTCACTTTTAGTTAAAGTGAAACTAATAGTCCCCAACCCCACAGGTATTACTGTCATCTCCATCTAGCTGTGAACTTCAGAAGAGCTATCCTTATTTTTATTTTTCCTTTCATTGCAAAGTCAAAAACATATTTAGTCTCAAAAATGGAACTCAGCCTTTCACACCTGTATGATAATGGACTGAATAAAAACAACGTGGGGAAGACAATCTTAAGTAACTTTTCTGTCAGTGTGAAAAGTTCAACCCCTCCAAATCTGAAGCCACTTTTCCATTTTCCTGCTGCACATCAGAAAAGCTCCAGGCTACCTCCAGGCATACCAAGAGAGCTGCATGTCTCTGCATAAATCAGCATAATTAGCAGTCTATGAACAGACACTTGCGTCTTTGTATGGAAGAAACCTGGAGACTCTGGAGGAGCCCTGAACATAGGAAACACACACATTTCATTTCAGTGCGTCTTAATTCCGTCTGCTTCTCTGGGGAAGACTTTATACTTTGTATGTGAGTGACTCAGATTTATGATGTGACAAGATGTAATTTCAAAAGAATACACTTACTGAATTCTATCAAGACAAGGATAGAAATAAAATTTCATTATAACAAAGAGTCACAAAAGCAAATGAAAGTCACAGCTTAAGGAAAAAAGCGTTTTGGATTACACCTATCTTTATACTCTTTTCTGGCTAATTCACTCCCTGAATTGGCTTGGCTGACACTCCATTCTAATTCCATTACCTGCTCCAATATTAGTATGTGTATGGAGTATGGTGTATAATTTTTAGTTTGACATCTTCCTTGTTCCTAATTTTGAAAGGCTAACCCCTCTCAGGATTGCTATGAGGAAGATGAGGAGAAAAAGGAACCAAGAGCTCTATTACCTCTTTCCCACCTGCAAATATTTCTTCCTTGCTACTATTCCCTTAGAAAAAGCTTTTTTTTTTTTTTTTTCCCCTCAGCAGTTGAGCATGTAGTACTGTGTGATTATACGTGATAGAATAATTCCTGTAACAAGGGTCTGCGGGAGGTCTCTAGTCAACTTCCTGCTTGGAGCAGGATCAGCCATGATATCAGACCAGGTTGTCCAGGTCTTTATTCAGAGAGATCTTGAAAACCTCCAAGAATTGAGACTGTCCCACTTCTCTGGGCAACCTCCCTCCAACTCTCTCTATATTCTATAGGGATAATATGTACAAGAGCAAAATTATTTCTCAGCGGAAACCACATAGTGTTGGCAGAAAACTGTCAAAAATGCTCTTGGTTATGTGCTTTTTCCTGTCTTCCTTCATTATCAATGTGAGGCAGACTCTTAATAAATTTGTTCAGAATGCCTGAAGTCAAAGTACCTTTACATGAAGTGAAATTTAGTTTTATGCCTTAACTGTCACAAAATATTAAACTGTCAAATTCATGGAAGAGGCTGGCAATAAACTTTAAAAGCTATTATATACCTGAAATAAACAGCAAGTCTTTCACAGTGAAATTCAGGAATGTAGAAGTTCTTATGTCATATTATCAAATTATTTGGATTTTTTTTTTAATTTAGATTATTCATAGTTACTCTTCAAAGATATCACTGAACAACAGAAAGAAAAGGAGTCCAAACATCTGGGATAAGTAATGTAGCATTGCTGAATAATGAATGTACATGCAGTCCAAACACAAAGACCACCCTCTATTCTGGAATTGCCTGACATGCTAATTTCTTTTCTTATCATCTCCCTCTTTCAAGCAGAATCAGCCACTCCTAGGAACTTTCTCTATGACAGGCTTCAGTCTGATGAGATATGTCATGTTAGCTTTCCCCAATTTTTTTCTTCCTAGAAAAGCTTGATCATGAAAAGTCTGAAGAAACATGATCTTCACCTTTTCATAGCATCTTCTTGAGAATGTGTTCTAGTTGCTTTGCTATTCTCGTGATCAGATGAATTAAGTACCTGTAAGGATTATATGTAACTCAGTCCCTCAAACTCAGCAAGCTCATCCAGCCCAGTGAAAGTCCAAAGCCTTCTACAGAGAGCAGTTCCTACCCCCTTTGATTTTAAAGGCCTTAGAACAGATAAAGGAGTTCAAAGAACTCCAAAGGGGCAGGGGAGTCATTAGGCAATGAGAAGAACTATGTGGGGCTGTGTCTTCCGGTGAAATTCCATTTCACAACAAGACTTGTGAAGAGGAATCTGAAATGTGGTCCCATCACATTTTTTTTTATCCAAACTCTTATGCAAGGTGCAGATAATATGTGTCAGCATACACAGAGAAAAACATTTAGGAACAAAAGACATTTTTAAAAGAGTAAATTCTATTTATAGTATGCATCTATTTAAGCCTGATTTGATTTGTTCTGACCATTCTCCTCATTCCATTTTCCATTATATGTTGCTACAATCACTTCATCTTTTAATGCCAAACTAAATGCTTACTATAATGAAGTCACAACAATATTGTTAAAAAAGTATTATTATAATTAATGTTGAGTAAATGCATTAATAATTTTACAGACTGAATTATTTAACATTCTGAACTGAATGGTTTCATTATTAGTATGTCATATTCATTTAAATCTCTTTTTTCCATAAATACATTTCTCATTTTCGACATACCACAGAACTCTTAACTTGCTCATGATCTGAAATTATAACTTCCTAATTGATGTTGTCATTTGCTAGCTATACATTCTTTAATCAGTAACAGTTCTCTTAGCTAAGTAGTTTGACAGTTTAGAAAATGTCCTTATAGCTTTTGCCTATTTCCTACATTTTCCCTTTTACTGTCAGTTCATTATGTTTGGTTCTTTTTATCTTCTATTTATCATTGGTGTGCATTCCATGAATCCAGGGGGAATCTGGTACATTAATGGCAAGCTGTAGTTCTGTTGACGCCTCCAGAACCATTGCTCCTCTTTTGTTCTAAGTACTCTGTCAAGAGGAAGTTTTAATTTTTTTAAAGTTAAGATTTCAGGTGGGTTGGACTAGATGACCTCTAGAGGTCCCTTCCAACCTTGAGCATTCTATGATTCCATGATTTTCAGAAATTGAAAGAAACATATTGTTTTGAAGGACTAATTGCAAAAGAATAAGTTAGTACAGTTATATCTATGCTCTTTAGAATGTAAAGACAAATGTCATCTTTGAGATAAATCCATATTAACTTAGCTTTTTTTTTTAATGGTGCCTTCTAAAAGCCCATTGATTGCTGTAAAAAGCATGGCAGACAAAATAATTTTAAAAGCATTGATTGCAACTGAAGCAGTGCTCAGAATACATTATATGAAAAATGACTGCAATAGAACTACAGGATTTTGTACATTCTTAGTACAGAACATATGAATGGTCCTTATGGCTCCTCAGATTAGGTGAGACCGTAGCCTTCCTACATATGGCAGCACCAGCTCATGAAGGCAAGTGATAGATAAAGAAATAGGAGGTGTGCATGCATGGGGTGTCCCGCATTTGTGATTGGAAACATTATCTTTCACTTTATGATACATTTATCACTTACTTAATTTGCGATACAATTAGAGATGGGTTTTTCAAGTATGTTGTCATAAAAAATGGGCCACATTTACATTCTGTTTAAAACAGTAAAGTAACCCTAAGGCCAATGAAACTAAGGTTCTATATCCAGAACAAATAAGGAATAATAGAAAAAAAATCAAAAAATCATTTTAAAGCATGATCAGATGAGTAACAGCATGCAGGTACACAGTGTGTCCATGATTCAGTTGGGCCCTATATTAAGTGCAATTTGGAGCTGCACTATTCAAACTATACTGGTCCAAGGCATTCTTTTTCCCTTCTAACCGAAGTCTCTGAAGATACCGATGCTCTCTGATGAGTTCTGATGAAGCAGTTTTACATCATTGTCCCCTACCAGAAGCAGTCCCCATAGCAAGCATAGCAAAAGGAAATATGTCCATGCCTCAACTGCTTACCAGAGACAAAAACATGTGTCCTCTCAGGAGCACTGCTTATTACGGCCATTGCCGAAAGAAGACTCCCTCTAGCCAGTCTGGAATGCACACTTAGTAAAATAAAATAAATAAATAAAATAAAAATAATAGTCGGCAGGGGACTAACCTGATGATGACCTATTATAACGTGGTATGATGAACCTGAAGATACATCAATCACATGACTTCAAGAAGTTTTTGTTAGATTTTTCTAATTGCTTTGATTGCTAGAATTAGATAGCTCTGATAGGAAAAATAGTTTGTTAACACAGTCGTTTATTATGCATAATAGGATTTGCAATCTGCTTATGTATGAATAAAACTTACAAAAAAAAGTGATTTGCTTAAAACACATATGCTTATTTTTATCTTATCTTGTTAATAGTCTAAATGACCAAATAATTAATTTTTCTAATGTATTTTACAAGAGGCACACATGAACATCTCACATGCTTCATTTAGTGTGCAGAAATCACACATATAGAATGTAGCTTACTGACCAACCTGGAAAACATTGGATAATAAATGTGTATTTTGGAATTCACAGGTAAACAGTTTTAATTATAGGATTCCATTTTTATGTCTTAATAGAATCAATGCCACAGAAATCACAGCCCACCTCCAATGCTTATCTGTTCTGATAAATTATAAAGTCATACAGTGCCTATAGTCATAGTATACATCATCTTTTCATTCTGTATATCAAACAGATCATGAATAGAAACATTCTGGCTTGTTGGCTTGTGTTACTTCTCAGACTGCTTAGAAAGCATTAGCAGTATTTACTTGGGACAACTAAAACTGTAGATTTACTGTGGACATATAGTCCATCTGTGCAGCATATGTGCAGTGAGTTGCTTGTTCCTGGAAATGTTGGCTTATTGCATGTACACGATTAGGCAGAACTCACACATTC